ACTCAGTATTTGCTCGGTATTGCTAGAAAAAACTCGGTACTCGGTACTCGGTACTCGGTACTCGGTACAACTCAGTATTTGCTCAGGATTTGCTCGGTATGGCTAGGGATTTGCTAGGTATTGCTAGGTATTTGCTCGGTATTGCTAGGTATTTGCTCGGTATTGCTAGGTATTTGCTCGGTATTGCTATGTATTTGCTCGGTATTGCTAGGTATTTGCTCGGTATTGCTAGAAAAAACTAGGTACAACTCGGTATTTGCTAGATATTTGAAATATATCCAAAAAGTGATGGGATGTTGTTCGGTTTGTAAAGGAATTAAAAAAATGCATGTACGAGAACCCAAAAAACGGCGGGTCGGGTCGGCGACTTTTCTTAATGCTACGTGTCGCTAAAATATTGGTGGCCGAACGTAGAGGAGCGTACGTTCACCGAACCAAATAATTGTTCCCCAAACGAAGCCTTAGTCTTGACTTTTTTTTTTGCGAACTAAATAGTTCATAAAACATTTATTAAACTAACAAAATAATACATAGTTTGAGGACATCGTTTTTGTGTAAAGTAATTGTTTGTTGATTTGCATATATTTATACTGTTAAAAACATGTAATTTATGAATATACCTTTTGTAGTCAAAAAAAAAAAAAATTTGATGGAGACAGAAACTATTAAAAAATAAATGCCGACATAGATATATTGGTGCTTAGAAGCTAAGCATCCCCTTAGCAATAATTTCAATGTGATTAGGTAAACCAACCCAAAGAGCGAAGTAACCTTCAATAGAGAAAAGATTGTTAGCCCAACTGTTTTTTATTTTATCTTTTTTCACTTGATTGTTAGAAAGCTTGTTGTAACGAATGGCCAAAAATACAAATTTCAAGGCAGAAATTAGGATTTTGAACGTGAGATATTAATCTGTAACGCTTATGAGTTATGGCATAGCGAAGTGCATGTATGCTAAATTAAATAACTTAGGCTTTTTTTTGGATGATCTTTTTACTGTTTTTTAAAATAATTTTTTAGCTCAAAAAGTTATTGAATTATAATTTTTTTACTAAAAATTTACTTTAGAAAATGGTGAAAAAAAGTTGTCCCAAACATAGCTACATTATAAATAGCATAAAATATTTAAAAATATATTACTCTCCAAATAAGTATGAATAAATGTAACATTCATACTTAAGAAAAACTCAATAAAAAAAATATTAGAATTATATATATTTTTGTGCCTCTAGAGGAAGAGGAACCCGTGGACCATTGCTGCTACCAATACACTCAACATCATTCTAATAGCTCGTAAGATCCTAGACGATTGCCCTCTATATCGATAGTCTGTCAGATTTGTGGCAAGCGTGGACATTCCGCTCCAACCTATTCGTCATAGCATGAATAAAAAATGCGTCTCTCCACCAGCTATCGCATTAGTTGCCTCTTCTAAACCCACCACCAATTGGTACCTTGATTCAGGAGCATTTTCACATCTTACTCCCCAAATAGAGCACATCCTGGGCCTGAAGCCTTATACTAGCTCTAATCGTATCACAGTGGGCAACGGAGGCTCCCTTCCCATCTCTCACTCCGGTCGAGGGCTACTACCTACCCCCACACTTATGGTAAATCTCTCCTCGATTCTACATGTCCCATCGCTTTCTTATAACCTCCTCTCAATCCGCAATCTCACTACTAACAATAATACTGTTGATTCCTTTACTCCTTCCAGCTTCTAACTCAAGGATTTGAAGACAAATCGCCTTCTTCCCCAAGGTCTCTTCTAAAATGGCTTATACCCAATTAGCACACAGAAATGTTCTTCCACAGCCATGTTTGTATCCACCTCATCCGGTCTTCAATGGCACCATCGTCTCGGCCACCCTCACCAACAAACAACCATTACAATCTCCAAGCACAACAAACATTTACAAATTATTGTACCTGTATATTTATGTTCTTCTTGTATGGTTTCTAAAGGCCACAAATTATCTTTTAGTAACTCTACAAATCATATGTACCAACCTCTTTAATTATTACATTCAGACGTTTGGGGACCTTCCCCTATTGAATCTATGCAAGTGTACAATTTTTACATAATCTTTGTTGATGATCACTCCAGGTTCACATGGTTGTTTCCAATGCACTCTAAGACTGAAGCTCTCAAACATTTCACGAATATCAAACTCCTGCTTGAAAATCAACTTCTCTTAAAATAAAAAGTCCTCAAACTGATGGCGGAACCAAAAATACTAACCATAACTTTCAAACCTTTTTACTAACCCATGGCATTCACCACCTACTTAGTTGTCTATATACACACCTGAACAAACGGCCTCGCTGAAAGAAAGCATAGGCGTCTCATCAAAACAATAAGAACCCTTCTTCACCCGCCACAATCACATTCCAATTTGGGGTAGAAGCACTTCTAACAACCACATATCTCATTAATAGAATGCCTTCAACCACTACAAAAAAACAAATCACCACTTCACATTTTATTCAAAAAAAAATCGGACTACTCGCACCTCAAAACCTTTGGTTGTGCTTGTTATCCATTAATCCCTCTGCACCAACGACATAAACTATGGCCTAAAGCTCCATTATGCATCTTCATTGGCTATAGTAGATTAAATCAACACCAGTAATTCAAAATAGAATGAATCATCTAAACCTTACACGTGTAAAGAGCACCCGGCCTTATCTTTTTATGTGTAACTAGTCCTCCTCTCTATAAAGAGGGCAAAGAGTAAATATAGATAGAGCAATGAAGTAAAACTACTCTTTACACACAACTCTCCTTGGCCTATTGGTTAAAAGCTTTGGCTTCCAACTAAGAGGTTCAGGATTCGAGTCTATGTGTATGCATTGTGTGTGTGAGTTTGCCTTAAATGACCTAAATGTCCCAAAAAAAAAAACTACTCTTTACACTATCTTCTGTCTTCTACTTTACTCTCCTCACAAAGCTTTTCCTATTTTAAACATTTACTGTCATTTGAACATTTGCTTTAAGCCTTATTTCTTCAAGGAACAAAAATCAAATAATAAACATTTATTTATGTAAAAATATATCATATTTCTTCATTTTAATCAATACAGACTTTAGATGCCAATTTTAAAGGAAAGTAATGCAACTCCCATACAAATTTTAAATAAATTTATTCATAAACTCACACATATGAATACTAAACCAAAAATTTCTTGGGTGGGGACCTAAGATTTTAAGTACTAGATTAAAGCTTCATTTCGGATGACTTTCTTATTGATTTTTGAAGTAATTTTTTAGTTCAAATATTTAATTTTTAATTAGAAATTTGTTTTAAGAAACGGGTTAGAAACCAGCCCCAAACTAAGGCTAATGATCTTTTGGAATGGCTATAATTTTTTGTAAAGTGAGAAAAAATAAATAAATACTTACATAAAAAATAACTTTTTAATACAAAAATTTATTGAAAATAAAAAAAATAATAAACAAACAAAAATTATAGCTGCAGAAAAATAAAATAATAAAAAAATTGGCCTAAACAGACCCTAAGATGTGCTGCATTTCTCGTACGTTTTCCAAAAGACGAATTATTTTTGGAACCTGATTGTCCATATCGATTTGAGAATTGTTACCGTCTCTAATTCAATTTACATAAAGCACCATTTAATTTTAAATTTAGTTTAGATAGCCAATTGAAACGAAATAGTATTACACCTTTATTTTTAAAAAAAAATCAACCAAACTGTAAATATTTTCAAGAACCTAACATTTCTCAAATTAAACTAATAAAATAAATTCAATTCTAATATTCGAAAATAAATTGAACTGACCGGCATAATTTTTATAACTAGAGTTTTCATTTTTTGTAATATTTAGATCAATTAATTAGATAAACTCATACACATATCACATATTCAAATTTTGAATTCAAAATCTTTTAATTAATAGCTAAAACTCCCAACTATAAGATCAAAATAAGCCGCATAATTTTTAATTGCATATAACTTAAAAGAGGAACTAGGCCTATCGAAGTTTAGGGTGGTTGGTGGGCGAGCAATGTTGGGAATCCTCCATCTCTTATTCGAATCCCCTCTACTATGACCTCAACATTTGTGAGACAAAATAAGTGTGAGTCCCATATTTCTCTTTGAAGTAAGAACGGATAGACAACTCCATTCCAAAAGAAAAAAAAAAAAACAGATACTCATCAAAGTTCAAAACACACCAAAAACATCAAGTCAAAAGCATGAAAACTTCTCCGATAGACCACTGAGCCGGCCATCAGATTAAATCTTACGATGGCTTTTAAAGATAAAGCCGATCATAATCTTCTTCATCGACAAGTAGATAACATATTACATCACCAAGTTTTTTTTTTTCCTTCTCGTTTGGTGCAAAGTTGCTTATTTTCCACACGATGATGTCTTCTTTAGACCCTAAAGCTGCAAGATTTATGACATTAATGTCTTTCCAGTTCAGTATGTATTAGAAAACATTACCTGATTTATTCATTTTTTTTTCTCAAACATACGCGATACGATCAAATGGTGACAGAAACACACGAAGCCTTCAAAAGGCATATTACTAACAAAGCCATTACAAAATACATTCATTCAGAAAACACAACGATCAGTTCAAAGTCCAGGAAATAGCAGCTAAATCCAGCCTTCTCAGGAACAACTCTTATTATAATATTTGGTCCCAAATCACAGATAACAGAGTCCTTTGCCTTCCCTCTCTGCAATCAGAAATCAGAAATCAGAAGTCGAGAACGTAAAGGATGAAATTTTACAGTTGGTTAAAAAATAAATTAAGACTTACAGTAATAGGGAACAATCTTCCAGCTCTGATTCTTCCCCTTGAGCCATTCCCAGAGCACGATGGTGGTGCCGTCGTGAACACCGCCGTGTTCCTTATCGCCATTGAAGGCGTCGAAGTTAAGCCGGATATTGTTCACCATTCTGATGCAGCGATAGCCCTCTCCAATGTCATGACTCTCAGTCCACAGTATGGATTCGTCCAGGTAATCGGGATTGAAAGGTATCAGACGAACCTTCAGCAATTAATTTTTACTCACTAATTAGTAAACTTTTATATGATGGATTAAAATTTTTTTGTTTTAATTTGATGAAAATTACAGGATGGGTTGGGCCAAGAGAGTGCTTGATGGCTAAACCGGTGGCTTTATTGACGAGGGCAAAGGCAGGAAGACCTTCTTCGTCCTTGACCTGGGAGCCCCAGCGGAAATCCTTGTACCAGTGCTGCAGAAACGAAAAAAGGTGGGATTTTTAAGGCGGAAAGAGGAAGTTTAATGAAAGATATGCGAGAAGGGAAAAGAAAGGTGAGATTTTTAGGAGTGGTATATTATAAGTTGCCTGGAATTCGTCGCGGGGGTTCGTCGGAGCAAGGACGACGGTGCCGTCGCGGACGGTGAGAGAATAGTTTTCTTCTGCTTTAGTGAAGATTCTGACGGTGGGGTTGCGGATCGTTTCGCCGTCAAAAGGGGCGGGGCGAGGCGGCGGTGGATTGGCCGGGGGGCCTTGGTGGTGGTGGTGGTGGTGCAAGAAGCTCATGGCAGCTTGTTTTGCTCGGAATCGTCGAGTCTCAAATGAGTTGGGCTTGAGTTGATGCTTCTGGTGCCATTTTATAGATGTGATGCGCATTGGATTCTTTAGAGGTGGTGGGGCCTATATTGGGTAAAATTTTAAAGGAAATTCTCCTTAAGGGAGAAATTATTCGGTGCAGATGTCAAATGCAATTCTACGTCCAAATGTCAGTACCGGTACCGAGCCTCGTAGCAGTACCTAGTCGCAGTACAATAAAAGGGTGATGTGGCATATTTTTATTGATCTTTGGACGTCCTTCCGTGTTCGCACAGAATATTTTTTGTTAAAAAGGAGAGCTTTCTCCAAATAATCTTGGATAGGAATTACTATTTGTTTTCTTTGTTAGTCTTATGATTTATGATGTTTTAGCAAAATGCTAGATTGTTGAAAATAGTTTAAACCTATGTAGGAGGATTATAATATCACCATTATGGATAGACACAAAGAGTCCTTTGGCTATAAAAAATTATGAATCTAATAATTAAGATAATGTTTAAAGAATCTTGATAGCATTAGAGATAATAAATGAGCTATGATGGTCAGTGGTGGTGGTGAGATGTGATGATTAGCGATGGCGATCAGATGATGGCAGTTGGAAGATGGAGTTAGCCGATCATGATCTTAGGCATTGAACATAAGGTAAAGCTCTAGAATTTTCATATCTCCAAACACCAATCAAGATGCCTTTCACATAGAGAATATTATTCTATTTATAAATTTCAAAATATTTCATCAAATGGCACGTATTGATTGCTTTGATGATGAAACATTTGTTTATCATGTTGGTGTTTTAATGACCTCAAAATTAAAAGATTTTAGGCTTATTGGATTTATATCTTCAAGACACTCAATTTGGCTTTAGGCATGCAAGAATTAGATACTGCCTTGGCCTTTAATTAATGTTCCAGGCATACTTCATGTGGTTGATTTGGACTCATTTAGATTCAAATCTTAGGCTTTTGTAGTTCTTAGGTCTATCTTGAGAAGATGTTTAATTCAACTATTAATATATTAAAATTGGAATTTACATTATTCTAAATTTAGTTCTTAAATTTTTAATTCCAATATTGCATCAAGATTCAATATTTGATCAAATAAATTTCCAATGATGTATCAATACTATTATTTTCTTGGCAAAAATGTGTCTAAGGGTTCGTTTGGGACGGCTTTTTTATTGCTTTCTAAAACGGAGTTTTAGTACAAATTTTTTTATTTTTGTACTAAAACTCCGTTTTATAAAACAATAAAAAAGCCGTCCCAAACAAAGCCTAAGATGGGTTTAGCTCTTCACATCGATCCTATGGAGTGGGCATCTGCTTTTTTATTGTCATTTTGCAAAGGAATAGATAAAGATTAATTCCGTGTCAAAATGCAATGGTTCTTCTTTTATTCCTCTACCGACTTCATATACAACAAAGGATCGGTTCAAGCAAAGGAGGAGTCGGGGCGGCTTGCTTATGCGTGCGGGAGAAATCTCTGATCGGTTCGGTCCGGTTTTGAATTATAACATATAAAATTATAAATTTTAATTTTTTAATTAACTTAAATTGATATATATGTATTTATAATTTTTTTTGTTATTTTTTAATTTACATTTTATTTTAAAAAATATGTTTACCATTTAATAATGGCTATTTTCTTATCAACAACAAGAATAGTAATAATTCTTCAAAGATATGCATAATTTTAATAGTATGGTAATAGAAGTTAATTTTAATCATAATGGAAAATAATTACAGAGTTAATACTTAAGTAATATTATCATCACTCTGCAACCTCTCGCAAAATTTGTGACAAGTCAAAATATGTTGCAAATTGGACAATAGCTATTCTAGCTCCCAGGTGATCTTTTGTGGTGAAATTGTTGTATACAGATGCGGAAGTCATTTGGAGGGGAATCAGAACCAGTCACGTTATTTTTTTGTTGTGTACCGCTGCTATGTATCACTGTGTACAGGGTGATGTGACGCATTCTGATTCGCCTCTGGACAGCTCGGTGTCCGCCCAGAATGATTTCTCCCTTTTTGTGACAGTTGTCGATCGTAAAACCAATCGCACATCCCTATATAAAGGATACATTTCAATCAATTTTTAATCATATGAAACAAAATGCGTTTATATATGGCACATTCAGGAGAGTACAAAACTCAAACAATATACACATGTAAGAGATGTGAAACAGATAAAACATATCACACAAGAAGATAAAATATTTTTAATAATTTTATATATGTGTAATTAACTAATTATATTTTAAAATTGGTGAGAAAGCAACAAAGTAGTGCCACTATATTTTACCAAATCAAGGTCATGCAAAAAAATAATAATTATTTTACTTTGACTTGAAAAAGCCCACAGCCTGAAAATTAGGCATATGTAATGGACTCTTGATTGATAAAGTAATTAAGAGTTTTGTACTCTTTTAAGATGGCACAATTTGACGACGATAAATAAATGATTGGAGATTCTCATATTTCATTGAGGCTTCGTTTGAGATTGTTTTTTTCTTGCTTCTTAAAGTATTTTTTTAGTACAAAAATTAATAGAAAATCATTTTAAGAAGTATTAAGAAAGTCATCCCAATTAAATAAATCCTAAGTGATTACAAGATTGATAGGATGCAAGGATAATGATATCGAAATTGATCAAATTATCGATAGCGATTAGTTGACCACTCAGAAGCAAAATGATATAAAGGGCATACCGATCATGTCTAAATTGCAACCCTTTTCATACTAAGCCTTTTCATATATATATATATATATATATATATGATTATAGACACAAAGAGTCCTTTGGCTATAAAAAATTATGAATCTAATAATTAAGATAATGTTTAAAGAATCTTGATAGCATTAGAGATAATAAATGAGCTATGATGGTCAGTGGTGGTGGTGAGATGCGACGATTAGCGATGACGATCGAATGATGGCAGTTGGAAGATGGAGTTAGCCGATCATGATCTTAGGCATTGAACATAAGGTAAAGCTCTAGAATTTTCAGATCTCCAAACACCAATCAAGATGCCTTTCACATAGAGAATATTATTCTATTTATAAATTTCAAAACATTTCATCAAATGGCACGTATTGATTGCTTTGATGATGAAACATTTATTTATCATGTTGGTGTTTTAATGACCTCAAAATTAAAAGATTTTAGGCTTGTTGGATTTATATCTTCGAGACACTCAATTTGGCTTTGGCCTTTAATTAATGTCCCAGCCATACTTCATGTGACTGATTTGGGCACATTTAGATTCAGATCTTAGGCTTTTGTAGTTCGTAGGTCTATCTTGAGAAGATGTTTAATTCAACTATAAATATGTTAAAATCAGAATTTACATGATTCTAAATTTAGTTCTTAATTTTTTTCAATTCCAATATTGCATCAAGATTCATATTTGATCAAATAAAATTTTCAATGATGTATCAACATTGTTATTTTCTTGGCAAAAATGTGTCTAAGAAGGGTTTAGCCCTTCACATCGATCCTATGAAGTGGGCATCTACTTTTTATTGTCATTTTGCAAAGGAATAGATAAAGATTAATTCCGTGTCAAAATGCAAAGGTTCTTCTTTTATTCCTCTACCGACTACATGTATAACAAAGGATCGGTTCGAGCAAAGGAGGAGTCGGGGCGGCTGGCTTGTGAGTGCGGGAGAAATCTCTGATCGATTCGGTCCGATTTTGGTTTTCTTATCAACAACAAGCATAGTAATAATTCTTCAAAGATATGCATAATTTTAATAATATGGGAATATAAGTTAATTTTAATTATAATGGAAAATAATTACAGAGTTAATACTTAAGTAATAATAATATTATTATTGTAAGAGACAATCCACCACAAACATTATCGTAACAGTAAATTTGAGACAAGAAAGCTTGTTGCAAAATCTGTCTAAAATGAGCTGCTCGCAAAATTTGTGACAAGCCAAAATATGTTGCAAATTGGAAAATAGCTATTCTAGCTCCTATGTGAACTTTTGTGGTGAAATTATTCTGTGCGGATGCGGACGTTATTTGGAGGCGAATCAGAATCGGGCACGTCATTTTTTTGTTGTGTACCGCGGCTATGTAGCGATGTGTACTGGGTGACGTGGCGTATTCTAATTCGTCTCTGAACGACTCGGTGTCCTCACATAATGATTTCTCCCTTTTGTGACATTAGTGGATAGTAAAACCAATCGCCACATCCCTATACAAAAGATACTTTTCAATCAATTTTTAATCATATGAAACAAAATGCGTTTATATATGGCACATTCACGAGAGTACAAAACTCAAACAATATACACATGTAAGAGATGTGAAACGGATAAAACAAATCACACAAGAAGATAAAATATTTTTAATAATTTTATATATGTGTAATTATAGTTTAAAATTGGTGAGAATGCAACAAAGTAGTGCCACGATATTTTACCAAATCAAGGTCATGCAAAAAAATAATCATTATTTTACTTTGACTTGAAAAAACCCACTGCCTGAAAATTAGGCATATGTAATCTGATGCAGAATCTGATGCACCTTCTGGAATTTTTCGAGGGAGATCAAGGGCTTAACTCACAAGAAAAGAATTTTTATTATTTTGTTGTTTGTTGTTTGCTTTATTTTATTTGGCGAGAACGTAATGATATGAGATTTTTTAGGTAACTTTGCTCTCCTATCACCATTTATTACCAAAGCACTTCTGCCATTTTGTCCAAGGCCAGATTTTGGAAGAATTTTGATACACTATGCAGCACCTATCCTCAATGCTTCTCTCGCCAAATTTAACTTTGGGAAGGTTATTGGTATGTCCCCTGGCAATGTTGAGCCGTACTAGGTTGTCGCCTACTACCCTGGATGGCCTCATTATTTGCTTAACTTCTTCCAGTACTTGGCCTGGCTTTTTGCACTCTGCTGGACTTTCCTGTGGATTACTGATGGCAACCGGGTATCTATATGGAGGTTTTGAGTGGCTTCGGTGATTTGTTTGCCTTCTCCCAGTCCGTTTTTACTGAGCCTTGTTGGAGACATCTTTGTTTTTGATCTGGTCTTGTAATTTTTGTTTTCAGCTCATAGTTTACTTGTAAATCTTTTGAGT